CTCACTCCTGCAGTCCCAACCTGTCTGCCAAGGAGCTGGCGTGGCATGGAACATGCTTTTTTTCTCTGTGCTTAATGGATCTCACTGCCCCAGATTTGCTCCTTCCTCCACCACTGAGGAAGTTGTGCTTGCTCTGCGTTGCTCTTGTCCCACTACTGTTCCTTTAGATCTGTATCTTCATCCCTGTAGGTCAGACATACCATTTTCTTCTGCTGTGCAGTAAGCCAGGCACAGGCAACTCCAGAACCAACCAGAATGTCTTCCTCCCCAGAAGACCAGCATGATAGGACCTGTCCAAGCTGGCAACTATTTTCAACATATAGCTCAGCCTGCAAATTAAAACCAAGGAGCCTTTACTGAGGAGTTAACTGATCCCTGGTTTCAGGCCATCTCTGGGTGCTTGAGATCAAGATGCATTTATCCAAGTGCGCAAGCAGTGTAAACCATAATTCATCCTCTCCAAATTACAAAGAGAGCAAGGACTAATGAAATCCTCGATTTCCATTTCTCTTACGATTATAAAAAACAGAGCTCCCACCTTTTCCCCTGCGGCTTAATGCCCTGCCATCTAGTTCACTACACAGGGAAATGTCAAGGCTGCACTGGAGCTCTATTGTAGGCAGTGCCAGTGTACTGGAAATTCAAAGGCAGCCAGAGCTAAGCTATACAATAAATGTGAAAATCCCATTAAAAACATAAAAAATCCATGCTATAAACTGATGTAACAAAGGCAGCATAACTTTCTCCTTTTTTATGGGATGAAGCCCAACGTAAATGAATGAATGAGATTTTTTTTTTTCCTGCGATTGCCCCAGTTACCCTCTGGACCAGAAAAGAAAAGCCAAAACCGATCTCAAGGATCGGTGCTGGGATCTCAAGGGTGGGTTTTCCACCACCATATTCTGCCACAGGTAACCATACTCCACCCAGCCAGGATGGCCCCAGCTGGAGGCCCTGGCCCTGGGCATAGCCAGCTCCTTTCTGAGGGAGGCAAGAGAAGGAGGTGCCTCTTGTGCAGCCTTGCCAAAGCAGTGTTGGCTCTGCTAGGCTCGAAAGGGATGCTGGTGCTCAGTCAGCCATGGCAAACATGAATTCACTCACAAGGTTTAGCTGTTATTTGAGAGATGCTCTTTTGTTAGGATACCGCTCAGAAGAACATTCTGAAAAAGAAGTACCTGAAGCACATGTCTCATTTGGAACAGAAGCATGTGTCCACTTGTGAGCGCCCCTATTTAGCAGTGGCCAGGTATAAAAATGACAAGAGGTGAGGAAAAAAATCCACAGCCATTTCTTTCTGTCCTCTGTGATCTGCTATCTGATGTGGGCCGCACATTGCAGGGTTGGGAAAAGACCAAAGGGATAGCAAAGGAAAAACATATTAAAATGCAAGGTATTTTTATAGACTGTAACTAAACCTAGCATCCCTTCCTAGCTCATCTCCAGACAGCTGTATGAACAGATACAAAGGGCAAACTATTTTCTTCCTACCTCCTCCTTTTATTTCCCATTCATAAGAAATACTGTATTTAAATTTGACCGCTAGAGACTGAGATTGCCGTTCAGGGAATTTCAGACAGACAGTCTCAAAGCGAGCACGTGTGGTGGCATTATCCTCACCAACCAGCCCAGTTAACAGGGAGAGGGTCCCATCACGCATCCTGTGGCAGGTTTGCCCAGGCTGAAGACCCTGGGACATGGCAGGGGAGACGCAGAAGAGGACTTTGGTGTGACCCTGGTCATCCGAGCCGCAGAAAACAAAATGAATTTGTAAAAAAGGAGCATCAGCACAAGAGGGTTGGGGCTCCTGGGGTCTTGTTTCCATGCAAAGAGTTGGTGACTGCTGGCGCACAGTCCTGCTCAGTGCTGCCCCTGTCCCTGCTGTACTGCTTTACCAAAGGTCATAGTTACAGTAGCATGTATGTGACAAGAAAACTTTGACTTTGTCATGAGCAAGGGATTTTTCTTCCTGGGGGTTATTCAGTACCCCCAGGGACACACCCTGCCACGGGTCTTTCCCCCGACGTGTGTGGAGCAGAATATTCCCTTTTGCCAGCAGCTACCCTTGTCCTCTCTGCCACTGGTATCCAGGCCCTGCACATCCCCAGGGATGATGCTGGTCCGCTGCTGGCACCTTCGCGTCATCTGTTGGACTGACAAGCCCCACAGACCTTGCAGGTCACAGACCCGCATGGCCCCAGGTATCCTGAGCTGGCAGCTGCTCCAAAGTCTAAGAAGAGTCTTTGGGCTGATCTGTTTGGCCAAGTCTCAGTCCAAGGGACTGGAATGCCGGTAGAGCTGGCAGCAGAGCCATAAAGGCTAATTCTAATGCAGCATTTTCAGGGCAGATAATGTGTTTGCATTATTGCAATTTTTACCATTGCAGATTAAAGAGGGCTAATTTCGTATTAAAAAATCAGTACTTTGCAGACAAGTTCTGCTCCCTGCTTTTAGTCATTCAATGGTCATACTTGGCCCGTTGAAACTAAAAATTGCATGAGAAAAAGTCAACTCTAATACACTTCTTCCTTAAAAATAGCAATCAAGATTTTGAAATTGTTGAGGTTTTTCGCCCAGGTGTTTTGAAATTAAATACCTTTTTCCTTGAAAAATGTTGTTACAGGTACCGTGAAGTAGAATTACGAAATGTAAAGGCTAATATAAAGTAAAATATTCAGAATATAAAGTAAAATATTCAGAAACCATTCTTTACACTAGGGTAAGTCTACTTTACCCATATTTTCAGTTCACAAGTATTTCTTCTTGTTTTAACTTCTAACAGTGGTTTTGGATGGGAATACTCGTGGATGCAGAGAAATTGTTCTGGTCACAAAAAGGTCTTTTTTTGTCCTCCTTTCATCATGTTCATTTTCCTTCTCCTGACTGATTTTAGTAGCTTCAACCTTTTTGTCTGAAACAAGGATTTCCTCACAGTATGTGCTGCAGCTGCTGCCGCGACTAATGTATCTTACTCAGAAAAGGGAGCTTCCATTTTGATACCAAAAGGTATTTTCCCAAACTTCTATATCACTGTTGCAAGCATAAACTTTCCTTTCAGTATGAGGAGTGGAAAACTGCCCAAGCATTCCTCCTCCTGCATCCTCCTAGTGGTATCTGCAGATAGCTGAGGTCATTTACTAGGTTGCTGGGTATAAAAGTCTCTGTTCATTTGCTTTGTATAGGTGGGTTCGGATTAACTTGTGCTTACCAGTTTCCTCAGCAGTAAGACATGAGGAAATGCTAACAGCACATGAGTACAGGAAGAAATTACTGCAGAGCGAAACTCCTCTACCAGGTATTCTCTTATGGTGCCTCATCAGGCATGCAACGTGCAATTAAACCATCACATAAGACCCCCACCCCGCCAACCGAACCCCAACAACCTTACTCACTGCCAGTGATTCAAATCTGCTATACATTTATATGGTATGTTCTGCCTCACAGGTTTGATTTTGCCACCCATATTCATGGGCTTTGCATGGTATGCTGCAAGAGTGTTCTGTCCTTGCTAAACTCATCTCTGCTCTGTTTCCACTGTGGTTTCTCAAGGACAAGTGAAGGACATGTTCCTCACATCGTGGGCCTCGTGCTTCCCTCTGCTGTTCAACCAAGAGAAAAGCACGGGCATGCAGAAATCACTTCCCAAGATCCTGATCGTGCAAAATGTAAGTGCGGGCCTATTTAGGGTATACTGCCCTAGCAGCAACACGGCCTTATAAGAGAAATCTTAGGGAAAAAACCCTATTTTAGACGGATGAGACATTTTGTGCTGAAAATAAGTTTTAATTCTGACTTTCTACAAATGAAGACTATTCACAGCTTAATATTCTTTTTACTATTCTGCTGTTGCCAGAACTTTTCTGCTTCTCCCACTCCCCCCCCGACCTGAAATACACTGCTTATGAAATGCAGAGGTTTGCATTTTGTCCTGGAAAAGTCTTTGCTTGCTGTTTTGCCAGCAAACTTTGGTGTTTACCTGGGAAATGAGAGCTGTAGGGTGCTGCACTTTGGTACCCATACTCATTTTTTCCACTAAGCAGCTGATCATGACCGAGGCAGCGATGGTTTAGCAAAGGCACCTGCTGTGAGCCGGAGTGCTCTTTGGAAGAAATTAAGAGCGATGCCCTACTGCCTGAAACGAGGGGGTGGTTTATCCCACTGTCTGGTGATGCCAGTGATTTCTGAGTTTCTGCCCCCGTTGTGACTGCTGCTCTAGACATAAGTTGCTGGTTGTGGCTCAGATGGAAAAAACGGAAGAAGCATCCTCAGAAGCAGGGTGTTTCAAGAGTCCCTGTGGGTCTGTGATTTTGGGGTGACTCTTCAAGCTTCACAGACCTGATCTTTTCTATTCACCTGCAGTCTGCGGCGGGAAGGAAGGGATGCTGGTTTCATCACAGGTCCAAACGGGACCCAACCTGGGATCAGTGGGGAGTGGGGTCCAGGAAATACACCAGGAGAAGCGGGAGAAAGCAGCACTCAGAGCCTGTGCCAGGGAAATAGGACTCTGCCCATCCCTGCAAGAGGCCACCCCACTGGCGGCACTAGCAAGGTGCCAGCAATGCTTTATATTGGAGAAAGAGGAAATAAATTCCCAGGTCCCTGACACGGTCTCTGGGTGCTGCTTTCTGACCCTTCTCCTGGTGTCTTTACCTGACCACTACACCGCACCATCAGCCACTGAAAATGTTGTTTATTCAGAAATATTCTTCATCCGGAGGAAAAAGGGATTCTGTTGCAGCAAGAAAACATTCAGGAGAAACAACTAAATATTCCATTTTGGGTGGAAAAAAGAACTAAATATTCCATTTTGGGTGGAAAAAACTTAGTCCTGGTCTTCCAGTGCTGATGTAGTTTTATGCAGTGTGGGATGTTGGTGAGGGAGAACTAGAGCTTCCGCAAGGCCTTGCGATGCCTATGACAGATATAGTCTCATGTCACCCCAAAGTTAGGTATTTCAGTACTTCTCAAAGAGATTCAATCAGGCAGTGCAGGGAGCAGCACGGTCACTCTGGCCAGGCACAGGCACCAGCACCAGCAGCCTTTATTTGGCACATTCCCCTTTGCGAGAAGGTCTCCTGCTGACAGTGTTGAATGCCGTGATGACTAAAGTCCCTGCTGCTGGTTCCTCCGCGGTACAGCATGGAAGCTCGCAGCTTCTTGGTATGGCTGGCAGCCCCTGGGCCTTCCACTGGCGCTCCAAGAGCCTCCTCTTCTCCTGCTTGCTAAAGGACACAGGAGAATGGGCCTCAGCTTGCTGGCCCGGGAAAAAAAAGACCACAACACCCCCAGAGCCTGACTCAGCCAGTAGCTCTTGGAGGAGCTGCTGAGGCCAGTCCATTGCTCAGTGTGGCATCCTGTGGGACCCCGTGCCCCAACCCATCTCCAGTGAGAAGATGCAGATCAGCCAGGGCTGAAGCCAGACAGGGCCATACCCAGGACAGTGCAGGCATCACAGCTGGGGGCTGGGTGCCTACGAAGTCCTGCATGGGCAGGGCAAGCAAAGACTGCCTGCTCTGGGACAGAAGAGCCCCGTCAGCTAAGGCAGCCTTTCATCTTCAGCCTGGACATCTCCAGTGGTGGGAGCCACAAAAGGCATTCCCTGGCCTCTGCAGAGCCAGCACACACTTACCCTCCCCATGCTCTCCCCAGGAGGTGCAGCTCTGCCTGCCCCTTGGATGCCGTCTGCCTTGCAGCGCTTTGGCACCTCTCCTCCTGCAGCACCTCCTTCTCCAGTAGCCTCTCCTTCAGCTTCTCATCATAAGCCTTTCGCAGGAGGTGGGGAGGGCAATAGGGATCCTCAAACACGTAGCGGCAGGGACTCTGCAAAAGCAGAAGAGGCTCCGTTATGCACTGCCACCAATAGCTGGGACAGATCCCAAGGCTTCAGGCAAGGCGTGTGACTCCCCAGGCGTGGCTTAATCTTCAAGGCAGGGGTGCTGATCCCTTACAGAGGGGTACGGGAGTGAAACGGATCACCTGTCCCACGGCCACCTGCACACATTAGAGCCCTGCCTGGGCAATTTGCCACAGCACTGCGGTCATGCTGCTGTGCCAGGAGAGCTTCCATCCTCGGGGAGTGGGGAAGGGAAATGCTGTTCTTCCTGGGGCTGTGAAGTGAATTGCATGCCATACCTTGCCTGCCTCCATGCTCTGCCCCGTTCTGCTGGCATGGTATTTGCGCCACACTTCTGCTTCCACTTCCCGACGCTTGAATCCCATCAGCAGCTGAAGCTGCTGATCAGCCCTCTCAGCGTGCAGGGAGCTCATTTCCTGCATGCCATGCACACACAACACATGCCGCATTAAACCTCCTCCAGCTTGAGCAGGGCAGGAGGGCTGGAGTGGTGGGCAGCTCTTGCTGCCTCTTCTGCCCCAGCCCAGAGTCCAAAATGTGACACAAGGCTGGCAAAGTCCTGGGGCATACCGTTCCTGAGGGCTGCAGGGCATACTCAGGGAGCTGCATCGATGGCCGAGCTGCACCTCTGGGCTGCTTCAATTCATCCTGAGGCATCCTCTTGACTACTGGCAGGAATCTGAAGGGACATGGTGGGCTTAGCTTGCGGAAGACAGTCTGAGCCAGTTGCTCTGGGACGGACTCTCATCCTGCGGCCTGGCTCTGGCACCACCAAGCAGCTCGGCAGGAGGATCATGTGTCCAGCAGGACAACAGCTCGGGCCTTTTGACATCAGTACAGGCATCCCGGCCAAGGGAAACCTCTCTCTTGCACCACAAGGGCACGGTGTGCCGCTGCACCCCCAGCCACACACTGCTCCAGGAGGCTCACCTGGCTCGGCTAGCTTCCAGGACCTTAATCTGTTCAGCTTTCTGATCCTTCAGCCTGGCCAGAGAAACTCTCTGCTGAGCCAGGAACACTGGATCCAGCACACTCACTGCAAGTGGGAGGCAAGAGAAGAGCAAAGAGCATCTTTAGGACTGCGTGGGCCAGCTGAGCAGCAGAGCCAATCAGTTGTGCCACTCAAGGCTCACCAAGAGTGCTTGCCACCCCTGGGATCCATGGCTCCAAGGTCCTGGCCCCTTGCCCACGCTGGATCTGCTCCAGCTCTGAATTCCCACTGAGCCACCTGCCATTGCGGGGCATGTTTTATTTCCCGCTCCCTGTCGCACCTCTGCCGGCAGCAGGGACTCACCACTGGGAGGAACAGAGAAGTGCTGGGGAAGCCCAGGGGCCTGTTGGGCAGTGGCAAGTACCTCAGCCCTCCTCCTCAGATTCACACACATGGCTTGCGAGAGCAATGCGGGCCTGGCCCAGCCTTGCTGACAGCTCCAGGCAGAGCTGCTGCAAGGCCCCTTTTGCAGCACGTGGCTCCAGCTCAGAGCTTCCAGGTGGTGTCACCTACACGGACCAGGATGGGTGTGCAGGCTCCCAGAGCTGCCTTCTTCTCTCCCACACCTTACACAGCGAGCTTGAGTCTCCTGCCTTCACGAGGATGAGACGAGCACCTACGGCACCCGGCTAGCACTCGGCTGGGACATTACCTCTGCGGGCACCCTTTCCCCAAGGTGCTGATTCTCTCATGGGCTTCAGAGGCATGGCACGGTCCAACGCTTGGTGGGGGATCACAACAAGCCTGGAAACAAGAAGGCGCCAGCTGGGAGAAAGGGCCTCATGCTCCCTAGGGGCTGAAGCCAGTAAGCTGCTGGCAGGCATCGTGGAGAGCCGCTGCCAAATCCTTGCAGGACGCAGCTCTCTGTGCGACCTGAAGGGCCCCACAGTCTCCATCAGCCTCTGCCACTTCTCCCCTTGCCTTCCTGCCAAAGAGCTGATGATCCCATCACACACACCCTGCCTGCAGCTCCACAGGCCTGCCTGCCTGCCTTTCACACTCTCTCAGGTCACATTGAGAGCAGGCTGGCCACTTTGTCTGCCTTCTCCAAGCCAGGGAGAAATGAGCAGTGAGTGGATCAGGAAACTGGGCTTGCCTAAGTTGGGTAGGAGAGGAGCCTCGGCAAGAGAGTGTCCCACAGCAGAGGCTGAGTCACTTGCAGAAGCTGTTGACCACTGCAGAAGCCGTTCTGCTCACCTTGGCAGCACGACGACCCCGTCTTGACTGACCCGGCTATAATTGTTTTTGCCAGCAAAGGCCACTATCCTCATCATCTTGGGGTTCTGCAAGGGGACAGAGGCACATCAGCAGACGCCCAGGGCACGTGCAGGTTGTTCACAAAGGTGGCCAACCATTTCACCGCTTAAAGACACAATGCCTGCCTCTCAGAAAGCCTCGCACCACCTTCTCCCTTGATGTCATTAATCCCTCCCTTGAAGGGGCCAAGATGCTACCGAGAACTGGCGTAGCTCATCAAGAGTGTGTCCAGGCCAGGTGGCAATGAAGGTGATGGCCGCCAAGAGAAAGTGGCAGGAGACAGCTTTGCCAGCCTTGCAGCACAGCTATGAAGAGGAGCCCTGGAGAATTGACAAGCTCACCCCGAGAAGAGCTGCCTCCATGTTCCCTGTGGCATCCAGCTCCAGCAAGCAGTCCTCAAAGAAGGTCATGCTGACCACACTTCTTCGCACGGCAAGGATGCCAACGCTCCTGAAGGAGAACTCCACCTCCCTCTTGTCTTGGATGGCCCCAGCAAAGAAAAGCAGGGTCTCGTGTATGCACTGCTCCACGATTCCTGGGCGGAAGCGGGTGTCTGCCCCAATCTGCTTGAAGTCCAGCTGAACGAATGGTGTCTCTTCTGGGAAACAAGCACAAAGCAACCAAGTCACTCCCACCACAGTTCAGCTCAGTGCCTGCTGTCTGTGCCCATCTCTCGGGCAACACTCTGCCAGAGCGCAGTCCCCTCTCAGCTTTGGCCATGTATCCAGCATGGAGCTGATGAACAGAAGGCACAGAGAGGCCTTGCCTCTTGCTGCGAGCAACCAGCTGGAGTGTAGTGTGAGCTGAGAGGCTGGCTTCCCAGGGAGAGGCAGGGTGCCGGGCTGCCGTACATGTGCCCACGCTCAGCTCTCTCCGGTTTGGAAGAGCCGTTGCTAAGCCACGTCACAGAGATGTGAGCACCAAGACAAATGCAAGGGCTCTACAGAGGAAACACCCGTCATCTTACTAGGAATTTTGGTCTTTGAACACTTCAGCTTGTAAAACATCTTCATAAACCGGCACAGCTGGAACACAGGTCTCTCAACAGGCAAAACCTTGTCCTCTCCCACCCTGGCATGCACGAGGACAGGTGCAAATGTTCCAATTCCGATATCCACTGCCTGAAAACACAAGCAAGAAGAGGGAGCACTGGCAGAGTGTGCAGAAGCGGGAAGGCTGCTCGGTGACTCGTGTACCCCTGGGGATGGTACCAGAGCCCCTGCTCTGGGGACCTGGAGGGGCAGGAGGGGGCATGGGCAGGAGGCAAAGCTCACCTTCTTCTCTAAGAGCTGTTTCCGGATGTACTTAGATGTGCCAGCCCATATTTTGCATATTTCTACAAAGCAAAGGAAAGGCAATGCCATGCACTGAGTCAGCAACTGCCAACATCCAGCACCCCTACCCACTGAGCAGTGCAGTGGAGTGAGTGCAGGGCAGCACCTCTCGCCCTGAGCAATCACTTGCACCGGTGGGGCTACCCAGATGTGTTCTTGACAGCCCCCAGCCTCCAAGCTGTCCGCCCTGTGCCCAGGACAGGAATGTCAGACATCTGGAGTGTGTTGGGGAAGGGGATCCTGCCCTTTGACACAGTCAGTGGCTACACGCCTGGGCTGCCAAAGCCACTCCCAAGGCCCAGGGCACCTGCAGGCAGGGTGCTCCTTGCAGCCACCGGTCCCCTCCAGAAGACCCTGCTACAGCCCCAGCCTTAGAGTTTCCACATTATCCGCAGGGTTTCTGCATCATCCTGGCTCTGAGAGCGCTCCTGGAAGAGCACTGCCAGGGCCTTACCATTGGTGGTCAGCTGCTTCAGGGTTGGGAGGTCATCAGGCCCCAAGCCTTTAAAGAGCAGATACTTCACCATCCTTGGCCCCCCTGCACGGCAGCAGCTGGGCAAGAGGTGCTGTTCCTGCTGCAGAACTGCTGGGCTTCTCTCCTCAGCACTTCACTGCGTGTCACTCTGCCACGCTCTCCCGCAGCCTCCCCTCGCCTCCTCCGTGCAGCTGGGCAGCTCCTGCAGATCAGAGTGCTGGCAAGAGCAGCCCCGGCGTTGTCCAGGCCTCCCTGGGCAATGTGGCCAGTTACCAAAGTGGGCACAGAATGTTTTGCTGTGCTGTGGGTATCCCACTGTGATGTCATGTGACGTCACACGTGGCTGCAGGGACCCACCACCTCACAGCACCACCTGTGTTTGGCCAAAAATTCCAAGCGCTCAGCTTGGTGGAACCTTCAAACTTGCTAAGGGCACCCCCAATCCCACCAGCTATGTCATTAAGGAAGAGATTCAGTACTGATGTAACAGAAGCAGCATAACTTTCTCCTTTTTTATGGGATGAAGCCCAACATAAATGAACGAATGATTTTTTTTTTTCCCGGGATTGCCCCAGTTACGCTCTGGACCAGAAAAGCAAAGCCAAAACCAAACAAAACCCATAAAAATCCACATCTGAAAGGAAGATCGTTGTGAAGTCTCTCTCTTTCAAAAGTTGATAAAATAGCATAAGATTTGCCATAGTGAAACTAGAGATAAAAGTGTTGACACAAATCTCTGCTGCAGGCTGGGACTGATTTCAGTGGCCAGCTCTGGGTTTTCATGGGAGGCTTGTCTCTGACTGAAAGAAGACCCGTTGCATGTACCCACTTTGGATGAATTCCCTGCCTCCTTGCACTGGCTGATCTGACGCCCTTTGACAGAAAGATCACCCCTCCCAGCTCTTTTGACGTGCCCAGTGTTTTGTGGACTGCAGACACTGCCTTCTGACACGGAGGAGCTAGAAATCCCCTACGCTTGTTACACATACTTGCATGAACACAGGCAAAGCAATCCGTTCCCGTTATGTGAAGGGATGCCTCACAACTTACACAAAATTAATGATGCAAATATGTACTGCGAAGGAGAGTGTTTCTAAGGGAGAAAAGTGTGGCAGTGACTAAATCTACAAGAGGGGACTGAAGTCTTTTACAAAATACGTCACCTGCAGATAGTTATTTTCTGCCTATTAATGGCAAGAATGCAGAAGACTTGTTATAGGAAAACTGAAGGACAGAAATTAAAAATGACTTATGGAATACAGCTATCATTTGCCAATGTGGCTGGTAGAGGTCTTGAAGCCGTTCATTTTTTTTATCTGTGGTTGCTTGGGGTTTTCACAGCAGCTCGTAAAAAACACTCCAAAAGGAGTTTCTGGAAAACCACAGTCTATAAATAGGTTGCACCAAGGTCCTAAAGCAGGAATGGCTGATGAAACTGTACTAGCAGCTGCTGAAGAAGATCGGGGCACATATCCTGCCAAGCTGTTAGCAGCACGGGTGGCACAGAGAAACGTTGAAGCTAAAGCCTATCAAAGGTGTGTTTGGGAGCAGAGAAATCCCTTTGTTTTGTTCAAGGGTGACAGAACCTTTGGTCCTGGTTCAGATCACAGCAGTAAATGCTGTCCATACCAAAGGACTGAGAGTTGTTTATCTCAGTAGTGCAAGTTAGGACCAGCTTTTCCTTCCAGGTACCCTGTGGTGCCTCCTTGGTGTGGCCAGGTTCAGACTGTGCAATAACTCACAGTCTCAGAGGTTTCCCTCCATCTACTTTGAGTCTGCAAATAGGCACGTAGGGCTTTTTTTTTCACAAATGTTATTCCCACCAGCTAAATCCAGGATCTCAAGGATCGGTGCTGGGATCTCAAGGGTGGGTTTTCCACCACCATATTCTGCCACAGTTAACCATACTCCACCCAGCCAGGATGGCCCCAGCTGGAGGCCCTGGCCCTGGGCATAGCCAGCTCCTTTCTGAGGGAGGCAAGAGAAGGAGGTGCCTCTTGTGCAGCCTTGCCAAAGCAGTGTTGGCTCTGCTAGGCTCGAAAGGGATGCTGGTGCTCAGTCAGCCATGGCAAACATGAATTCACTCACAAGGTTTAGCTGTTATTTGAGAGATGCTCTTTTGTTAGGATACCGCTCAGAAGAACACTCTGAAAAAGAAGTACCTGAAGCACATGTCTCATTTGGAACAAAAGCATGTGTCCACTTGTGAGCGCCCCTATTTAGCAGTGGCCAGGTATAAAAATGACAAGAGGTGAGGAAAAAAATCCACAGCCATTTCTTTCTGTCCTCTGTGATCTGCTATCTGATGTGGGCCGCACATTGCAGGGTTGGGAAAAGACCAAAGGGATAGCAAAGGAAAAACATATTAAAATGCAAGGTATTTTTATAGACTGTAACTAAACCTAGCATCCCTTCCTAGCTCATCTCCAGACAGCTGTATGAACAGATACAAAGGGCAAACTATTTTCTTCCTACCTCCTCCTTTTATTTCCCATTCATAAGAAATACTGTATTTAAATTTGACCGCTAGAGACTGAGATTGCCGTTCAGGGAATTTCAGACAGACAGTCTCAAAGCGAGCACGTGTGGTGGCATTATCCTCACCAACCAGCCCAGTTAACAGGGAGAGGGTCCCATCACGCATCCTGTGGCAGGTTTGCCCAGGCTGAAGACCCTGGGACATGGCAGGGGAGACGCAGAAGAGGACTTTGGTGTGACCCTGGTCATCCGAGCCGCAGAAAACAAAATGAATTTGTAAACAAGGAGCATCAGCACAAGAGGGTTGGGGCTCCTGGGGTCTTGTTTCCATGCAAAGAGTTGGTGACTGCTGGCGCACAGTCCTGCTCAGTGCTGCCCCTGTCCCTGCTGTACTGCTTTACC